TGGGTCACAATGGTCTGAGCTATGGCAGCATCATCATCAACAGGCAGCTGTTGATATGCGTGAGCTAGGTCAAGCTTTGCAAAAACACGCCCCCCCCTTGAGAGAGGCCAGGATGTGACTGACCACAGGAACAGGATAGGCATGTTGCTGCAATGCCTTCTTGAGTGTGCATTTGTAATCAGCACAAATGCGAATGTCCCCATTTGCCTTTAGAGGCGTGACAATGGGGGTCTCCCACGGGCTGGAATCAACAGGTTCTAGGATTCCCTGGTGGATTAGTTTGTCTAGTTCAGTGTCCATCTTACTTTTTAAAGCAAAAGGGACCCTTCTTGCTTTAATCCTAATGGGAGTGACAGTGGGGTCTAGCTTTAAGGACACAGGTGGTCCTTTGAATGTGCCCAGCTGGGGGCTGAAAACATCTGCAACTTCTTTGCAGACTTCCTGTAGGTCGAGTGTTTGTAAGCTATTGAGTCCTGTGACGTGTATCCCCAGGGCCTCAAACCAATCGAAGTCCTATGAGACTCGTGTCTTTCCACCGATTCCCCTACTACTAATAAGTCGAGTGGACCTTCAAGCTCTTGTATTGCACGTTAAGGGTGGCCTCCCCCTTAACACACACTCTTGAGTTCTGGAAATCTGTTAATACAATATCAGAAGGCCTTAACTTGGCCTTAGACCCACTACTGGAACAAATCTTCCTAAATGTATGCAATGAAATGATGGACAGGGCAGACCCTGTGTCTATTTCCATAGATAATGGAACCCCTTGTAGCTTCACGTTGAGTGACAGCTTTTTCTTCATTGTCTTGTGTGTGCCTGTTTACAGATGCTTCTTCGCGAAGCGCAAAACCCTACCCTATTCTGGCTGGGGAATCTGGTACCTTTCAGGCGTTCTTCTTGGGGTTGTGCCTTTCGGCGGCTCAGACACACAGCTGCAATATGCCCTTGTTTGCCGCATGCCCGGCAGGTAGCGGAGCGGAACTTGCAGTCGGTTCTCCTGTGGCGACCTCCACAGCCGATGCACTTGAGCGGAGCCGGAGAGCTTCCCTTCTGGTTCTCTTCCTTCGCGGGGTGTAACTTTCCGACTGTTCCTCGTACCGGATCCTCCTCGGAGTTTCGTCGGACGTCTTCCTGGTGCACGGACGCACCCTCTGCACTGTTTCTGATCGGCCGCATGTTTTTGATAGCGCCGCCTGCTGCTTCTTCTGCGGTGACTTCCCTTAAGGCGTCTTGGAAGGATAATTCTTCCTTGGCAAAAAGTCTCTGTTGTAGCTCTCGATGCCTTAGCCCGCACACGAATCGGTCCCTCAGTCGTTCCTCGAGGTCCTTGAACTCGCAGGGCTTGGCGGCCTTCCGTAGCGCGGCGATGTATTCCTTGGCTGTTTCCACCGGACCGTTGATCCCTCTGCTCGAAGGTGTGGCGCCATGAGATAACGGACACCTTGGGGTGGAAGTGCTCTTTCAGCAGCTTCTTCAGGTCTGCGTAGCTTACAGACTCTACTGGAACAGGTGCTACAAGATTTTCTGCGATTTCGAAGGCGTCTTGGCCGCAACGCAAAGCAGGGTGGCGGCCTTCAAGCTATCTTCCCTCACTTGGTTTGCCTTGAAGTAGTTCTCCATTCTGGATACGTAGGACTCCCACCGCTCTGGATGTGAGACGTCGAATTCCGAAAGCCTTCCGATTTTCGCCATCTTCGGATCTTCAGGAGACGGGTCTATCAGCCAGCCTACCCCCGAATGCGCACCGGATTGGCGGGTAGCTGCCGAGTCGACGCCGTTCCTCTTCCGCCGCTCAGGACTCCTTGGGTAAGCTTACACTTCTTCCTTTCCAGGTAGTGCAAGGCATCCCACCCTCGTCGCCAGTGTTGCGTCCTTGGCGGGAAAACAGACACGAGAAGCAGCTGGAGTTCTCAGTTTCTTTTATTCAGCGTTCAGCTTACAGGAAGATGGCTTCAGCCTCGCCCAAACGCCTCGCAGCCTCTTATATAGGCAACTCCCGGGTAAATGGGTTACTTTTCCCGCGCCAGCACCCGCGCATGCGCACGGCGCTGGCGACAGCCTGTCTGGTCCCGGGCAGCTTTGCACCTGCCCGGGACTGCCTGCAAACGCCCGAGCCGTTTGCAAAGGCTCGGGACATAACAATATCCATTTTGTTTTCTTAGCAGTGGTACAGAAGTTGTTTGCTTTCTTTTGCAACTTTCCAGTCTGGTCTACACTTTTCAGGGTGTTTCTAATAGTCCCCCATCCATCTATGAACCAGATCCATGCCCATTTAAGTTTTCAAGCTCAGTCAGGGCTACCCAGATTCGTGGCACAACTTGGGGTGGCACTTGAAAAAAGAAATAAGCCTGATGTGGGTGGAGAAAAAGAAATGTATCCAAGACCCTCAATGCAGTTCCCTGTTGTGCTGTACTTTCATATACTCAGTAAAGCCTCCTTTGTTTTAAAATTTTAATTTTTGCTGATAAGTTTTATGAATGCAGAGTATTTTACATTTGAATGCGCTTCAAAAGTTGTACAGTCCCCTTTTGCCCCCATTTCTCCTTCAACCAATATGCTGGCTTAGAAACAGGAGAATAAAAAATAATTTATTAAGAATGAGGGCATGCCATAAGAACATTTACCACCTGTGAGGCAAGAACTATAGGGCCTAAACCTCAGGTGCAAACTCTTCCTGTGTTAGGTGCCTAAGGCTATGTCTGTCCAGGGCTTTAGAAGGAGGCAAAAGTGAATAACATACAGGCAGTCCTAGGTTAAGAACACTTGACTTAAGCACAGCTCCTAGATATGATGGGCTGCTATTACAAAAAATGGTGGACAGCACCCTCCTTCCTGAAGCTGATGAAGCACTGAAGTTGTGCAATGCTTGTAGGAACCGCTGAAAACAAGCCGTATATTAAAAAGATGCAGCTTCAGCACTTTGTCAGCTGAAGGAAGGAGAATGCCATCTGCCATTTTTATTAATAGGCAGTCCGTTGTATCTAGGAGCTGTGCTTAAGTTTATAAGTATGAGTTCCAATTTCAATACAAATTTGAGTTAAAGATTTAGGGGACAGAACTCATTCTTAACCCATGGACAGCCTGTGTGCATTTGTAATTTGGCTCAGGACAATTATTACATGCCCTTAGAAAATAGAGTGGTACTTTGTTTCCTACACTTCAGTTCAAATGCAGCCATTAATCTGAGGTCTCTTTGCTCTGAGACTGAACTTGGTTCAATTAGACCCTAGTATGTTCTCCAAAACACAAAATCCAAGGCATGTGCATGAGCACAAAACTAATGAGGACTGAAGAAATGTCCAGCATGAAACACAGGAATGTAACCTGAAATAGTCTGATAGGAAAACATGACCTGAAATCATGATAGTTACATGACTAAGAGCGATAACTTAACAGCCAAGACTTTGAACGGTCTAGAATTCTGGATTTGTACAAAAATTCAACTCTGTCCTCAATGCTCGCAGATCCAAATTCAATACAACAGACTATTTGCAACTGTCCTCTATTGCTATAAGAAGAGCATTGCATTGATCCATTTATCCACAGAGGACTGCCACAGTCATACAAGGAACATGAGTTAGGGCATGTAATAATACAAAAACAGGAGCTGCAATATTACACTGGGAGCAAGGGACCTTATGATCAAAATAACTTTCCTTCATTTTTCAAAGGCCATACAAGTCTTAAACAGGATGCAAAGGCAGTTTTCAAAGGATGCTGGTGGTAAGCCATGTATCTTGGGATTAGCTGCTAAAGGATGCTAAGCCTGTACAGCTGTTGGCTCAGCGCATTAAACAACACTCAACCTCCTGAAATGTCTTTTCAAGAGACTACCGTAAAGCAGACTAATTACACATAATGCAAATGAGGGATGTAGGCCAATCATTGAGCTTCCCTCTCCCTAACTCAACCCCAGAAAAAAAAAAATGAGCCTAGGAACCCGTTTAGTCTGAGTCACGTTTAGGGTAACTAGTTTGTACTGCTAAAGAGACAGAGTGCTAGCTTGGAAACGATCCCGCTGCCCTCTTGCACAATTTACAGTTGCTGGACACAGGCAATTAATTGATCCGTTTCTGTGATGAAATAAATAAACCCTGTGTTACACTAAAATAATATGCATGCTGCCTGTGAAATATATTATATGTTCCTCTCTAAGATCATTCTCAACTCCTCATTCCAGCTTATTAAAAAAAAGAGTAAAAAGAAAAAAAGTTTGTGTGTGTGTGTGGGGGGGGAAAGCTACCATTCTGCGATCACTGACAGATGATCACAATTTGCTTTTTGGCTGCATTCAGCAGTGAAATTCCTGGAGTCCAGCTATTTCATATTCCCCCTGCAGTTACGAGAAATAATTACAGCAGGTTTGCTGTGTTTAGAGGGTTGTATTACGTTAGAAAATATTATACGTGATAGAGAAGCTTTACGGACAGATAGCCCCCCTCTTAATGAAACCATTTCCAGTTTTGTAATGGCTAAATAAGCCAGATTTTCCGTAACTATATAACAGTCTGCAGGTTCTCTTTAAATGAACTGCCTGAGTGCATGCTGTTGATTTTCCATTTTTAAACAAAATTATTCCAGATCTACTTTTCTGACCCATAACACATGCCACATCCATACCTCCTCCCTCTCCAATGACTTCCATTATTCTAGCTAGGAATTCTGCAGGAAGGTTTCCGTTTCTGACCTTGTCTTTTATGAGTCCCAGGGGAATGATGCTCACCTCTTCTTTGCCTGGGGATGATATGAGTAGCAACTGTGTCTTTCCTCCCTTCCTATTCTTATTTTCCCAAGGAAGAAGGTAGTCAATGGAGGGAGCAGCCTGGTCTCATAAGAGGTTTAGAGGTCTTTCAAAAGGCAGGCTTAGAAGCTGACAAGTACAAATCTTTGCTCGTGATTTGTAGCTGCTCTTTTTCCTCAAAGGATCCTTTCCATCAGTAGCCACTCAAGTTCTAGGAATAAAAAGGTTTCTTCCTAAAGATCAGGATCCAGTGCCATGGGTTTATGACTGATTATATAGGACTATCAGATCTGTACTGCAGAACTCTGGATGGCCACTAGACAATAGCAATGGGTTGGCGTTTTCTGAATTTGCCTGCTGCCATCTAATAGTCTTCCAGATGTTTTCAACGCAAGGTGGCAACCTTAATCTTAAGCTCTTTTTCCCATTAGAACATTAAACACAAAACGTTATTGGATGACCAAAATCAAAATGATAGATTGGATGACTAGCAAAAATAAATAGAACCTGCAGTATTCCTGCCTTTTAAGATGAGGATTATTTTGTCTACATATGCAGTGAAAGTTTGGAAGTACTGAAGAGGAGTAGTGGCAGAGCATGAATGTTTTACAAGCAGAAGATCTATGTTCTGTTCCTGAATTCCTGAGAGATGTCCTGTGCAGGTGCTACCAGTTAAGATGGATCCATTACCAGTTAAGATGGATTCATAATTATCTAATTATATGAAGCAACTTCTCCAATGCTTCATAAACAAGGAGGGTTAATGAGAATCCCTGGCCCTAAGGCAAAATCACTCTACTAATGTGGATTCTCTTGAAAATTATAGTTTTGTTATGAAACTATTGATCTATTCTACATATTTAGTATAAAGATAAATAAAGTATGCAAACTGATAAAAAGATTGCAATTAGAATATTAAAAAGGCTTCTGATAGTGGTGGTATGATGACAATGTCATGAAGAAACTGTATCCCACTAGGACAGTGGTTCTCAACCTTTCTAATGCCGTGACCCCATAATACAGTTCCCCATGTTGTGGTGACCCCCAAGTGGGTGTGGCCACCAATAAGAGGGAGTAGGACAGCTAGGGAAAAGGGAAAAAAATGGCGGACAGCGTGGTTTGCCGACCCCCGTGAAATGGTCATTCGACCCCAAATGGGGTCCCGACCCACAGGTTGAGAACCACTGCACTAGGAGATATATTCTTAAATCCTACCCACCCAACTTGTTCTTACTATCATAACCTACCCGTTATAAAATTAATTCATCTTCCTGGTTAGTCATGAAACTGAAAGAGATAATTAAATTGCAATAAGCAATTTAATTTCTTATTGTAGCCATTAGAGGGTATATTATTTCCTCTGTGAGGATGCCTCCAGGATATCGCCATCTCCCCCCCCCCCAATAATCAACAACCAGCAGCACTCCTTTTCATAGTATTTTTGTATCACAGACCTGAATTCACAAATAAAATTTTCCTATTAGAGAATGTCCATCTTAATATACAAGATGGAACAGGATCAGTTCTCATTTCCAAAGTGGAGTAAATTAAAGAGTCTTGTTAAAAGAATATAGACTTAACTCCAACTATGGGCTTGAACCCAACAAGTTTAATCACAAAGGACTGAGATTCATACTTACTTTCAGAGAATATGCCAAGGCAATGAAGCCCAAACAGCAGAAATTGAGGTATACAAAGTTGAAGATGGACCAGAGATAATAATCATTCACTTCAGTGGTGTCTGGATAGATTTCAATTACAGCAGTGGGATTAGTCATCGTTTTCTTCTCCACGGAGTGTTTGCATTGCAGCGGGGGTCTCAGGCTGTCCCCTTTGCAGGTCTTATTCTCCATCAGGCACACAGCAGAAGAGGGAGACAGTACAGGGGACCCTTGCTGTATGGGGGGTGTCTTGGCGATGCAGGCAAAGCACCCCTGCTGGGGTACATGAGGGGGTCTTCGAGTCCAGAAAGCCCCGTCAAGAGGACATGGAGGGCCCAAGGGGGGTTCCTGTGGTCTCTCCGTGATGGCAACCCCCAGTTTACACAAGTATATCCAAGGAAAGTATGTTCCCCTAAGAATGAGAGCGATGGAGAAAGTGGGGAGGGACAGGAAGGGGAAAGATGTGAGCGATAAAAACAAAATACCGGGGATGCAGGAAATCAGAAATGGAAAAGAGGTAGTGGAAAAGACAAGAAACAGCAGGAAAAAGAAGTAAGGCAAAGAGGGATTTAGAAAGGAGAAGAGAGAGGATCCTGTTTAAACACATGTATTACCACAAAGGAGTATTCTCTAGCAGACAGAGCAGTCATTAATGTATGCAGCAGTGTAACAGTTCCTGGATTCCCTGCAGCTGGGTGTCCCAGCTCCGCAGTAGGCTTGGCTTGCCCTCCCCTGCTTCCCACACAAAACGGCCTCGGAGTTCATTAATTCCCTGGGAAAGGCGAGGAGCTCGTCACATGCCTTCCCGAGCCCCCCCCCTCTCCCCCACTGCTTGGTTGGCTTCCTGTTCCATTTCCCCGAGAAAGTCCTTTGCAGCCGTATCGGATAAAAACAACAGCAATTCTCTCATCAGTCACTCCTGTAACATCATCCCCATCCCCATTTAGAAACTGGACAAGGGAAGAACACTTCCAAAGAGGAGAGAGCGTGGACTCAGGGTGAAAATGACTCTCTCCCTGCCACGAGACTCTAGTCTCTCTCCCCCCCCCCCTCCCTCCAACCCTTCTCATCCACTCTGCCCATCTCTTCCGCGGGACTCTCCTGTCCCGCGTCGGCATCAGGATCTAAGCAGCCCGGCCGACTGGGCGATGAAAGCCAAACCGTTCCTGGAACTGACTGCACAGCTGCGACAGAAAAACCCGGCCTCCCAAGGCTTTTTCCCCTGCTGGGTCTCTGCCCATTTTGCTGAGCATTTCATCTCGGCTACATTTCTGGTTGACTTTCCCGTCCTCCCCTTCTTCACCTGTCAGCAGTTTTCTCCTTTGGACGGCGGCGTCGCGCAGTCGGGGGTGGCGCGGAAGAAAGGAGGAAGAGGAGGAAGAGAAAAAAAAAGCAGAGGCGGGGGTGGTAGTGTTTAAGAGTGAAAGAAGCGCGCCTTCTCCTCTCCTACCCCATCGGCTTTGCAATTACGAAACGGAGCCTGCACGTAGACCCACCGGCACCGGAGCCGTCCATCCGTAGAGCAGGGCGAGCGGATACTTACGGGGAGGGAGGGAGGCGGACAGTTGTGCTGCATCTCCAGCTCAACACTGCCACTGTCTCTTCTTTAGCAAGTGGAGTTAGTGGAGGCGCTAAAAGGGAAGGAGGGGCGGGCGGGAAAGAGGTCAAACGGTCCCGCTCTGTCTCGGCCCAAGCGGGGCAAGGCGTGCGCGCACCCGTTCCCAAGACCCTGGAGGCACTCAATTTCCTTTTCACCTCGCCGAGCCCGCTCTTTCTACGAGCGCGAGGGTTTGTCTCCCGCTGCTCCTGCCCTCTCGGCTCCAAGCGCGCAATACGCGCGTGCTCCCTCGCTCTCTCTCACACACACACACGGCAGCCTTTTTTTCGGGGCAAGGGGAAATTCCAGTTGTCAAGTTCCCCCTCCCACACACACACACACAAAACCTACCTGCTGGAAACGTAAGCCTCCCCCGCACCTGCCAATGTGACAGCGCAGGCATCTCTGCAACCGGGCTTTTGGCGTAGATCAGAGAGGGCTTTGAAAAGCTGACAAAAGGCGATGGGGTCAATCTGAGGCTTGCCCTTGGAGCAACCCATGGCTAATTATCACCGGAAAAGGGTTAGCCGCTCCCGATCGCCATTTGCGACCTCTTTAGTGAGGGGCTGGGTGGTGGGGAGGGAAGAAACTCCAAGTGAGGCCGGGAGGAACAACTGTGCGCCGAAGGGAAAGAAGCGCTCCTCGTGGTCCAGTTAGGGAAAAATGGATAGGAATCGGATCAATACTGGCTCCAGGCTGTGTAAGCATAAGCACGCGCATATACAGCCATAGCTTGAATAGCAACAGCTCCCCTCCATTGTTTACATTTTTATTGAAGGAGTGTTGTCTTTTTTACTGCTTTGGATGAAAAAAGTTCTGAAGAATTTGAAAGGTGTTGTGACCCTGATGAGTTCTCTAATAAATGTGGTGGGATACACTGGATTCAACAGGCTGTCTCTGTGCTCCACTCTTAATAAATAATGAAACAGCGAAAATTACTCTGATCAACAGGAACTAGGAAAACACAATAGGCCTTGTAGATCAGGGGTTCCCAATCCCCAGTCCCGTGGACTAGTACTGAGCCACGACCGGTCTGCACAAACAAGCAATGCCCACCCACAAGATGCAGGCAGCATACAAAACATGCACCCTCCAGTCCATGGAAAAACCTCTCTCCATTGAACCAGCCCCTGGTGCCCAAAAGGTTGGGGACCTCTGTTGTAGATGATTCCAGCAGATGTGTAGTATTATAGCAAACGGGAGTCTCTAGTTGGCATATGAAAAGGTATCTAGAACAAAACCAAAGAGCTCTCTTCCCACAATACTCTTAAGTCCGGCCTCCCAGAGGGTATAATGCTCTTATTTTAGTTCCTAAATTGTTTGATTACAGCTTTTACAAAAGTTTGCAGGAACAATACCTGTTATAATTAGTAATAAGGGAGATAGCTACCATTATACATAAGTAGAATTATCTAGACATCTTTAAATTGCATTTTATTTTCTCATCACAACAGACACTAATATAGCAAAGTTTCTTAAACAGTAAAATATATTCATCAGGTAATGAACCAATGAAGCTCTTGCTTATAAAGGTGACCCAGAACCTGTTCAATTAGTTTTTCATATAATATTCATAAAAAATTGTCATTTGACTTTTGAACAATTGAAGAGAAGTAATGTCAGTTTCAAAATACTATTATTTGTAATAGAAATACAATTATCATACATTTTTATTAAGCCATCAAAATAGTATTTTTGTAATCTAAAAAGAAAATGAAATGGTCAATAGGGTTTCTGGAATGCAATGGGAGTTTCATAGATCTGGATAGGAAGAAAAATTTGCAGAGTCAAAGCAGAATAACTTATTTTCTTAAATTCTGCTTGATTTACATTATTTTTCTGATATGAACTGCCAGTAGTCTTGCAGATTGTCTTGACACATGAACAGGCTGGGATCACACAAGATACTAAATCACAAAAACATGTAATGCTTTTAGTTGGTTAAGAGTGAGTTTTGCTTCTTTCATTTTTCCACATACAAATTACATATTTAAGCATATCCTTTTATTAATAAGACTTTCATTTAAAAATGCTTAAAATTAAGATTTAGGACAGAGCTGCACAATCTATTCATGGTTTGAAAAGGCAAGAGTCTGTAATGAACAAAGTAATTGTGGCTTATTGAGTCAATTCATTTTTTTTTTACCTTTGTTTCCCCCAGTATCAAACAAACAAAACCCCATTTTTTAAAATAAAAAAATATTAAATCTGGATTCTAAATTCATTGCAACAAGCCAAGCATAAAAGAAATCTTGGTTTCAAAAATAAATCATTTTTTTCTGGGAATGGGTTCATATATGATAAAACAATAACAAACAAATACAATATAATTTGGTATGATATAGGTCAGTGTTCACACTGAATCATGTACTCCCTTTAAAATTTTTCCAGACTACTTTTTAAAGAATGACATGATAATATGTGGTTGTGAAAACTGTTTATTTTTAATTTATTTGATTACTAGTTGAGTAGAGAACAGCTATGGAACAGATTGTATCTTTTGAACAGGCAAGAACATAATAGCATTTCACAAAGTAGAGCAAACAAGCAAGAAAATGCTCCAAGCCACCAGGGGAATGACATTGAACTACTAATCCAGCAGTGCAATCTGCGTGTCAAATTTACTAAAACAATTTCCAATAAGATGTGGTGGACTTTATTCTTCTCGAGAATGTGCGATCTGCTATACAACAGCTTTCTCCTACTTGACATAATGCAGGGGTGTCAAACTGCCAGCCTGCGGGCCGGATACGTCATCCGGAAGCTGCGCCCACCCCATTGCCAGCAATGGCAAAACCATCCCAATACATTGTACGATGTCATTTGACGTCGCAAGTTTGACATGTCTGACATAATGGCTTAGACCAGATATGTCAAACTCACGATACCACATGACGTCGCGCAATGTATCGGGCCAGTTTTGCCATTGCCGGCAATGGGGTGGGCGCAGCTTCCACGTGATGCGTCCGGCCCATGGGCCGGCAGTTTGACACCCCTGGCTTAGACTTCCAATATCATAATCTGTATGGTCAAAATTTTGGTAATGGCACTGGAGATACTTTTACTCATCCAACATTAACTGCTGCCATAAATTGCAATGTGTAACACTGCCAGACTATCAACTAGTCCAGATCAGTTTTAAGTGTCTGATATGTTTTATTATGGAGGTGCCATTCAATCCCACATTTGCATCAAATAAGACCCTTTAAGACCCTTATACAAAATCAGGGTACTATTGGCTTTATCTGAAACAACCCTATTTTAATCTAAATCTCTTAATCTTTCTTGCCCATGGCTTCTCAAATATTATGAAACATTTCAAATGAACTAACGTCTCTTTGTTCACAGCCTAGCATTAACAATGGCACCGCTCTGTAATCTATCAAGTCTCATTTGCTCTACAACAGTTGATCATATGACTTCTCAAGTTCCAAACAAAACCCAGTTCAGAAACTGCTCCTTTTGTGAATACCCAATATAGAAATCTATGCAAAAAGATTTTGGATACTTCTTCTTCAAAACTAACTTGAATCAAAATGTCTCAAAAATTGAGCCAAAATGTCTCATAAAGTTTTATGTGAAATATTTTTTGGGAAAAGTCACATAATTCTGTTCTCATATCTCAAAAAGAAACTAGGAATTACAAAAGGTTTGGAAAACTGAAGAGCAAAATATTCACAAACAACATACTACCTGAGTAGGGGAAACTTAGGCTAAATGGCAATTTAACATTTATCTTTACTTTCACTTTAAATTTTATCCTCCCTATTACAATGGCTGTTTCCCCAAGTATTCATTACTAACCATAACCATGTTTTATAAAATGTGTTAGTTCAGAACTGCTCTGTCACATTCCACACTTCCTAGATGACAGAGATGCAATCGCTTTATATATATCTATATATTTATATTCAACAGTGCAAATAGAGAATCAAATGCAATTTTAGGGTGACTTCTCAACTATTAAGAATTTTTCAATGATCAACTGCAATATACATACATATGTACATACATATATTATATGTATATGTGCATATATACATATATGGTGGGAGAGTTGCTAGAAAATTGTATCCAAAAGCATACATAATTTTGGGGAGGGTGGGCAGAAAATAAAGTTGCTTATACAAAACAACTTTTGCTTGGAAACGTATGAAAGGATCATGCTTCAAAGAATCAGAAATCTGAAGGGTACATACAATATTAGGACACCCCAAAATTTGTAATTTTATTAGAGCCTTTATATGGTATGTTATCAGAAGGATGGCAAATAAATTTTGGAAGATCAATAGTAACTTTTCTAATTTAAAAACATTTCCTCTCATTTGTACTTTCTTGATTTTGTTCTGAGTGCAATCAGTCACAATATAAAAGCAAAGCACAATGTGCTTGGGAGTGCATTTGTATTGAGACTGTGGAAGGCAATGATTAATTGCTTTTACACCTTGCTAGTACTCTTTGCAAAACCAATAGAGTCATTATCTCGATCAAATACTGTGTAATAAGGCCCAATGAAAACATCACCAAGAATCCAAAGAGGCCCACCAGGTGGTGGGACATCCAAGCCTGAAAATCCACTCAAACAAAGAGTTTCTCCTTGAACAGTAACCTACAGAAGGAGAGGAAAAAGTAAAACAAGATAATTTTTTTTATAACATTATGCTTTTCTATAGGATTAATTCTAAGGCAAAATGTGTAAAATTTGAACTTAAAGCTTTAGTGTTCAATTAATTTGTGTGTGTGTGTGTGTGTGTGTGTGTGTGTGCGCGCGCGCACATGCGCTTTCTTGGAAAAAACCAAGAAAGTCCAGTTGTCTTTTGGAAAAAGTACCACTGGGACATCAACTTTTCTTAATAATTGTGTCAAGAGTTTTTAAGGACAAGTCATATTTTTGTTTCTCTATTTCAAGAATTGAAAATGCTATTTTACTTTTTTTAATTCATAACATTCTCTTACTGCTTAATACAGATTTCTCAACTGACACTAAAATAACATGCAGCTAAAATTCTTCTACATCTCTTTACAATCTTATGTGTGTGTGTTCAATATTATTCCTGACCTATCCCAGTGTATAAACATACTTGGGATTAGTCCATTGTACTTTCTATAGCCCCCACCATTAAATGTGCAGAAGCAATTCAGTACATGTCCAAAAGAACTATCACTAGGTATATAATGCAGAAAATATGCCTAAAATAAGCTGGTAAGCATTAAGAAAAAAAAAATCAAAGTGTCATGGAACTTACTTTTAAGGCATACTGATCTGGAGTAAGAGCGTAAGACTGCCCTCCTAGCACTAGAGACACAGTGGGAAGTGTAGATAGTTTATCACATGGGAGCATGTACTGCAAACAAAACAACAGAGAACAGTAAGAATCTGCTATGGACAAACACTGGGCTATTAAGAATGGAGAAAAATCCTCTCCTTTCTGGAGAAGAAAGTGATAGAAGCTAGTAGTTAAGATAGCGTTCTCCAAAGTGGTCATCCTTAGATGTACTTGAAACCCTTATTGGTAATGCTGCTGGGAATGGTGGCAGTTATAGTTATAATTAAATTAATTTTGGAACCACCAGGTTGAGGAAGATTGCCTAAGATATAAAATACTACTTCAATGTGCCTTGTTTTTACTTAAGATCAGTTTGCAGAGTCTAGTACACATTAGGCAGAATTAACAATAAATAAGGAAACAATTAAAGAAGAAGAATAGACAAACCCATACATCTGAACAAATATACCTTCTCAAACAAAAAAAGCATTACCAACAGTGTTCCCCAAACACCTTAACCCCAGGGCATGGAGGAACAGCAATGTTTTAAAAGACGTCTGGAACGGCATCAGGGTGGCAGCTACATAGATCTTGGGGTTGCGGGCATCATTTTAGAGTAGAGGAGTCACAACAGAGAAGGCATACTTCCCAGGTCCTGACATTGTTTGACTGAATTCAATCCAACTCTGCCCAGGCTTAATAGATTGCAATCATGGGAGATAGCCAGTGCCTTAGATAATATGGCCCTATGCATGAAGGATTTTCTAGGTCAGCGGTTCTCAACCTGTGGGTTGCGACCCCATTTGGGGTCGAACGACCATTTCATGGAGGTCGCCAAACGCAGTCTGCCATTTTTTCCCCCTTTTCCTTAGCTGTGCTACTCCCTTTTATTCTATTGGCTTTTGAAAGCCAATAGAATAGACTCTCTTGAATAGAGTCTAATTGTCCAGGCTGTCTCTGCCCTGCTGAGCCCGCCAAAAGTCCCATTCTGCAAACGGTGCTGCAAGTTGTCTGCAGCGAAGGAGAGCTGTCTGGAAATTTCCACCCCTCCCTGCTGAGCAACTACTAAAAATGTAAGTAAAAGAGGGCCAGAGGTAGGAGGCCGGCGGGGGCAGGGACGGTTGCTGGTGTGTGTGGGGCCCGGTGGGTGCCTTACCTCCCTTGGGCTGGGCCAGCTGGTGGTCACCCTGCGCCGTCGCTGCCCCTTGCCAGCTACGCCTCGGCCGGCGCAGGGGGCGGCACCACGCATGCGCGACACTCCCGAGCAGGGAAAGTCCTCGACTTACGACCGGTTGGAGGGTCGCAGCATTAAAAAAGTTGAGAACCACTATTCTAGGTAATAACAGCATTTTGAACTGCATCTGGAAGCTCACTAGCAACTACTGCATCTTGCAGAGCAGTGATGTTGCACAGGCATACTGAAACATCCCATCATTGACAATGCCGTGATGTTGCACAGGCATACTGAAACATCCCATCATTGACAATGCATTCTAAATTACTAGAAGCTTCCAAGTCTTCTCCAAGGGAAGCCCCATGTACAGCATGAATTTCCCCTTGTATTTCTTCAGTCTTTGCATATCCATGAACTCTTACCATGCATAACTGGCATTCATAAGGTTAACAGCTATTTCCCAGAAATGAAATCAATCTGTCTTAGAATTTTTCTGATTAAAGCATGGAATTTAGCATATATCCAAAGTGGTCTCCTCTAATTCCGCCCCTTCTGAAGAGGGAAGATTTTTTTGTTTCCTAATATCCGCTGAAGAACTGGATATGAACAGGAAAAGGAGCTAAGGTAATATTGTTCCTGAGCCTTTAATTAAAGGATGTAATGTTTCAAGAATATGTGAAATCCAGAGGAAGCAAAGATAAATCTTTGCTTCAGGAAATCCATTTGTTTCGAAGAAGCAAGTGAGCCAGTTTAGTTAGAAATCTAAATTAAGGGTTTATGCTTTATTTTACTGCATGGTTAACTCTATTGTCTCTGACATATACTTTCCCTCATATTTATGTTCTCTGTAGTCACTCAAGTAAATTATGTATTTTATGCAGCTTGGCACTTCTTTATTTAATACAGAGTATCTTCTGTATTGGGAGATCTATTATCTTGTATCTGCCAAGAATCTCTATTGTTATTTATCGTTTTTCTATGGCACAACTTTTTCAGATGCGGTTTTTGGACAGCTCTATATTTTCATCTTCTTTGCCATTAAATGCTTTACCTGTGACTACCGTAAATGCCGGCGTATACGGCGACTTCCACGAGCGCTAAAATCGGCGCCAAAGACGGGGGTCATCTTATACGCCGAGTTGCCTTATATGCCAGAAATACTGGTAGTTTCCGGCATATAAGACGACCTTCTAGGAATGCGGCCTGGCAATAAAGACGGGGTCGTCTTATACGCCGGGTCACCTTGTACGCCGGCATATACGGTACTTAAATGAACAAAAAGAATTTTCATATTTCCTTTTTTTTAATTAAAGTAATTTTATCTATTGCTTCTAAGATTGATCTCCAAAGAATGGAAAACTGATTTCCTTAATCAAATGAATTACGCTAAAGGCTGAGAAGGTGGCATTGCACAATATGTTTCTTTTTTATTATTTTTCCTCAGGGTTCTTGTATAAGCTATGGAGATGCTACCTCCCTCACGTGCCAAAGTTAAAAGGGACAGTATGCCTTTCTCCGTAAAATAAGTGATAACTGCAATAGTTACCAAGTAGCTACCATAGCAAGAAGGGAGTCCCAAGGGAGCTTCTGGGAAAGGAAGTTTGAGATATCCAACCTTTCACCCAAGGGGCTCATCACTGCTGCTACTTGGTAGCACCTATGGGATAAATTGAACAGTAAGGGCCAACCCAGAATAGTCTTTGTAGCAGAGACTGCAGTAGAGAGACAAGGCTTAGAGCAGGGGTCCCCAACCTCCAAGCTATGGACTGGCACCGGTCCGCAGTCCACCAGGAGCTGAGCTGCAGAAGCGAGCGAAACGCATCTGCGTGCACGTGGGATCCAGGAGTGCATGAAACCACGCCCACCTGGTCTGTGGAAAAACCACCCTCCACGGAATCAGTCCCTGGTACTCAAAAGGTTGTGGGTTGCTGGCTTAGAGCACTCCTAATGTACTATTAAGGTATGGGAAGATATCTTGCCTTCCCAGTTAGAAGACATCTTGAGGGACAACATGTCAGACTCAGAGTAGATAACTTAGCCATTGAGGGGACCAACTCACAAACCCAAACTAAAGACATTAGAAATCCAATTCTAGTTAAAAAGAATGTAGTTCCAAAGGACCACTTTCATTGTTTTTATTCCTTCCTGTAACATGAGTTGATTTATTTTGAATGCTTTTTTCTACATTTTTAAAGCTCTGTCAACCATTTAATGGAAGGTTTATCAGGATCATTCTCAATACCCAGATGTGCCTTACAATTTGTGGGGACATATTATGATACTAGTAGTTTTATTTTGTTTTTTTTAATTCCTAAAATGAATTTTGCCTTTTTTGCTGTTTTTACGAGGAACTGAAAGTTGGTGATTTCACTAAATCCAAGTATCTGTATTCAGTATTTATGATTTCTACTTGAAGGTTAATTAACTTCTCAGCGAAGAAGCCTTTTTATCCAGAAAATAAGGAATTTAATTCTGGTTACAGAAAAGTATTTCTATGTCTTCAAATATTATGCAGAACAGAAACACTGAGCAGGTATTATATCCTGACTTGAAGAACTGCACTAATTCTAGTTTCTTTCTAAAATATTAGAAGCATAGAGGAGAATTTATTATGGCTAGGACTTTGTATTATGGCATGGGAGGCAAATTACAAAACTGTCAAAAAATTATTCAAGATAACAGAGCTTTGAACTAGAGAGAAAGCTATCTTTAATGGCAAGTCAACACCAGTAGACGTATCTGAACCTGACCTAAATTTAAACCAATGTACAAATAATATTTGATTGAATGAAGACGAATGCTTAGCATAAAGTTCAGGTTGAAGAGAGATTAGAATCAAATAAATAAACAAAAACTCAAATTAGTAAGTCTAACATCTGCAGTACCACAATACTCTAATTCCTGTTTGAATTTACCTGTCCTTTAATGATTGGCTTAGCTCCAATGGCTTTCTGCAATTCTTTAATTTCCTTAGTTGGCCCTGTAATAAGTGATGTTCCTGTGTCTACAATAGCTTCACAGCCATCCTTGCACACAGTTAGGCCATTAGCAACATCAACTCTGGAAGGAAAGAATGGATCTCAAGTTTTTTTCCTTAAGAGCGCAGCAATATAAAATCAAATCCTTGCACAGTTACATTGATAATAATACAATAATAATAATACAATTATTAGAAATTTACTAGAGAGTTTATATGCAGGGGAAAAGCTTTTATACATGTTCCAACATAATATATGTAGCTCAGGGTTAAACTGTGGAATCCTTGGTGCTCTGAGACTGATCATTTACTTGCAAATGTTCCATTATTCAACATTAGTGTGAATAGGTATGGGTTTTTTTTCCCTGTTTATATACCGTAACTTGACTTGCCAGTGTTGGTGGGCGTTTTCTCTTTGATAGTTTCTTGATAAAGTTTTTGGTTTCCACTTGACTGTCAGGTATTAATCCCTGCTTATCTAGATGTTGTATTCTGGTATTTTTGTTTTCTTCTTAGCTTTTTTATTATCTTTTGAATGATGTGTAAACATGGTTTAACTGTATGTATCTATTGATGGCCAATTTGTCTGAATACCAGTGTTTGGATTTGGCTTGGTCTAAGATGCCAACAATTTTCCAGTTGAAATTGTATTTGAGTCTTTCTATGCATTGTGAAATAAAGGAGTTTTCACTGTGTCTTCTGACTGCTAGTTGGTGTTCATGGATGCACTCTGCTAATGTTCTGCCTGCCTGTCATACATACTGTAGTAGTTGTTATCATACTTACCCTGTATGTTGTAAATCACTTTTTTGTTGTTGTTCTTGGGCCACTGGGTTTGCTTAAAATGTTTAGGAGGGCTTTAATTGGTTTGGGTGCTACAGTGATGTAGTATGGTTGCAATAATATGTTGTTGTTTGTGAGCTTTATTTTCACGTATATTATCCTTTTCACAGCTTATCCTACATGTGCTGTAGTGAGCGATCAGGCACTTTTCGATAAATCTATGTGGATAACCATTCTGTTGGAAGATATTATATAGGCAGTCATTTTTCTGCTGTTCCAAGTTGTTGCAGTGTGTTTGTGTCCATCTGAATAGTGTCTACATAGCAACTTTTGTGGGAAATTGAGCTCTTAATTTTGGTAATGGAACTCTGGGTTAGTGTGGGTTGTTTTGGGTAGACTTGCATTTCTAGTTTGTTGTTTTTTCTCCTGATGAGGATATCCAGGAAAGGGAATATGTTATTTTCTTTTTCCCCTGTGAATTTTATTTCTTTGAATATATTGTTGATTGTCTCATGTGCCTATTTAATTATGATGTGTTATCTATATACCAGATCCATACTTTTGGTTTCTGTATGGGAGTGCTTTAGTTTCTAGACAATACATTAAGATATCTGCTATGAGTCTTAATCACCAGTATTAGGCCTCATCTCAGGACTTTGCTGCAGATCCTGAGAGATCACCATTCTCTCCCAACCAAATCCAAAAACACTAGGGAATTCCTAGAAACTTGGCATTCAGACAAAGCAGCCATCAATCAAGACACTAAGATAGGGGTCCCCAACCCCTGGTCTGTGGACTGGTACCGGCCTGTGGCATGTTAGCAACCAGGCCGTACAAACAAGCAAAGCCCCATCTGCGGGATGCAGGCAGCACACAAAACCACACCCCCTCCAGTCCGCAGAAAAACCTCTCTCCACGTAACCGGTCCCTGGTGCCCAAAAGGTTGGGGACCTCTGCAGTAAGAGATCAAAATATTTTCCCTCATTTCTTTTTTCTAATAGAATAGGGGTGGGGGTAGAGATAAGAAACAAGATGACAGAAACAAATTTAAGATATATTATCCTTTGTATGCAACAAGCCCAATATACAGCAATAAACTGCTCTGAAGTCTACGGTGGTTACACTAGTATACCACAGTGAAGATACATTTCAGGAGGATGAGATATTTAAAACCATTCTTTTTCCTTTCCACTCCAATTCTCCTTCTGCAGAAAATTAGGTCTAAAAGGACCACACTTTTTAGAAATTGTCATCTAAGTTACTAAATGTTATATGCCATAAGGCAACATTCTGCTATAGATTTTGGACTTATCTAAACATATATGCAAGTAAGCTATAGACATGTTTGACTGGGAAATGCCCAGAATTGGTCATAAGACGGGTGGTTCTATAAATGTTTTAAATAAATAAATAAAACTAGCTATAAGTATAACCAAAGCAAAGAGCACTTACTTATCCATGTGGACTTGCCAATAAGCTTTACGAGACACATTCACCCAACTGAAGTCTCCACTATAATACTGGGAATCTGTTCCTCCAAAAAGCAATTCCCCTCCAGTTTCGCCTTTTGGATCCCTTGAAGAAACAATACACAAGCATAGGGAAAAAATCAGTACAAACAAGGAAGTTGCCTCTGAGCCACTATACTGAATTTATAGAAGCTATGAAGAATAAAGAACACAAACAGATCTGTAGGATCTGACATACTTTCATAGAATCCTAGCAAAGCAACACAATTGAATGTTCTTTCAAGGATCTCAACAACTTTGGAATCCTAGCAACTCTTACTATTAAGTCCAAACTGAATTCAGAAAACCTGCTTCAAATACAAGAGATATTTGTTTGAGCAATAAGTCATTTATTGTTTATATAATTATGGGGTCTGCCCTGATAGTTCAAGAGCCTTCAAAAAATTCCAAATCTGCATCTTTGTAGAAAGATAACTTTGCTTAAAACTGTAACTAAAATGGACATGGTCTTCTAAGAATATCTTCATTCATATCTATTGACACTGAGGCTATTACTTTGAAAATGGGTGGGTCTCCAGCTATTATGCTCTAAAAACTGGCTATATGGCAAGGGTGAACATAAAATAAACAATAAAGACTTTAGTATACCAGTCTGAGGCTCACCTGTTTAGATAAAAGGAAAATAGGTTCTTTTCCAATAATCCCTGTTCCATTACATTATCAAAAAAAGGTGCTACTTTATCCACAGAGATCTCGGGGTATGCCATGCCGAGAATGCCATCAAACTTTGCAGCAATAAAAGTGATGCCAGGCTGCTTGGTAGCTTCACCAAACAACTGGTTCTTGACACACATGTCACCAATCTAATAGGAAAACCAATAAGAAAGGAAGAAGACAAAATACATGCTTAAATCACATCTGGAAATGGCAATATTCACTTGATACACCTCAATGAGCATTGTATGATATAGAGCAAGCAAGACACAAATACCCAGGAATCCCTAAATGATTTGCTTAGTACTTTGCACTCTGTGTAGGATGAGAGTATCATCCTAATGTAGCCACTTCCCTCAGATAAACTGGATGGCTATGCTGCTAAATTTATTGTTGGGAATTGTAGTTCAGCCAAATCTAGAAACTGCATATTATTCATCATAAAAAGTTTGAAATAAGCAAATAAGTTTTCACAAGGAATCAAAGAATTAAATATTTTGCTAAAAAGATCATTATGGATTAAAAGAAAGCTTCACATTTTGACAAAATTAAAATCCAATAAAGATAAAGAGAGATTATGCAGGAAAAAAACTCATGAAGAATATTACCTGGATTAGGAAACAGCATAAGCAAGGACATGTACAGGACAGAAGAAGCTAACTGTTTAATCCATTAAATAAATAGTTAGTAGGGGAAGGATGTATCTAAAGACATATCCATGAAGCACAGACATAACATTGAAGCATTAACTAAAACAGTTGGAAAGATTCATCACGTTGCATCCCTGAGCAAGTGAAGTATCCTCAGATCAAGAGGAAACCTTGAGATTATCTATTTGACTTCATAAAAGGGGCTCCTTAGAATATTGGGAGTATCTGGAGAGATCTTTCTGACATTCTTAGAGCTGAAGCCCCTAGGAAATGTGGGAAACATCAAGCCCTGTGCTTCTAGTCATCAAAGTCTCTTGTTCTTTTTTTAAAAAATTTGAGTTTTGCATTTTTGAATTCTAAGAATTGGGACTTTTAATCTTTTGAGTAAAAACTCCTGCTCTCTTTTCCAAAGGAAGAAAAAAAAAGATGACCCCATATTAGATGATTTAAAATGATGAAAAAGCAGGATGTATACATAATAAAATTGTGAATAAGGCAATAGCTTGGATTCATATTACTAAGGCTGCGAGATAAATGATCCATGCTTTTGCAGGGGAGAGCTACACATTTATAAAAAAATGCTTGAAAAGCATTCTTTTAATCCAACATTTCCCCATCATCAATCTTCATCCCTTTATTTGCTTTTTCTGTTATAGATGACTAAAAGTGCAGTGACAGTAATGAGAAAATAGAAAAATTTCTCTTCCAAAAGGTCTGAATAGGCTCTTACGATTTGTTTGTGATGCTTTTGTTTTTCTGAATAAGTAAGACATTAAGTAAACATTTGCCTTTTAAAATAAGGAGATTCAATCATGTAATATTTATATACCCTTTCAAATATTTCTATATTTTTTCAAAAGCACAATGAAGTAAAGCCAATGCAGTGGGGGGTGAGGGTAATACTTTGGCTGAAGAGTTGGAGGCTTTTATGACTTAAATAATGAAATGCTGCCATTGTACTAACCGTCACAGTGTCCTGGCTGAGATATCCCGAAAGGCTCCCAGTACCATAATGGATGGCAAAATCCGTACCATTTTTCACGTATGTGCTAGATTTTGAAGAATCGTACTTATGATGTATCACTGCAGAAAGAACATAAGGACTGTAAGTCGACCACATGCATGGAATTAATGCACACAATTTAATTGACTCTGTGCTCTAAATAAAAATCACAGAGACTCAAACAGAGTCTGTGGAAGACGAGACAGGAGCCAAATTAAGAGTACACAGACTGTCCTCATTTAATAACCACTAGTTCAGCAACCATTCAATGTTATAACAGAGCTGAACAAGTGAGTGGCACTTATGGCCAGTGCTTGTAGTGGCTATCACAGCATCCCCTGCAATCACCTAATTGCAATTCAGTTGTTTGGCATCCAACATACAATTATGACCAGGGCTTTTTTTGTCATAGAACGCACCAGAACAGAGTTCCGGCACCTTTTTTTTGACATATTTTCCAGAGTTGCGTTCTTTTCCTATTGTTGCCCTTCCTATCCTTGTTTGCTTTTGAAAATGCCCGCTGGCGGTACGGTGCGAGTGGGGTCCTCTCCGGTGCTGTCCACCTCCTCTAGAAGGAGCCATGAGGCACCGGAGCACCACAGCCAGAGTGTGGCTTGATTGGCTAGGTCGGACCATGTGGTGTGGAAGCCGATGGTGGCAGTGGGAGACATAAGAACATGGAGGCCATTTTTCACAAGAGGGTGAGTGAGCCTTTTGCCTTCCCTTACAGAAGGTGGGGTGTGAGGTTAAAAAGAGGCGAAGAGAGAGGAAAGAAAGATGACTGGTGTGGAAGCTTGCCCGACAGCAAAACTTTGCTGTTTCAGTTCCTTGGGTAGTTCAAAGGCTGGGATGTCTATGAAAATCTCTTTTTAGTCTTGTATACTTTATATTCAAACTGCAGAGAGGAAGAATAAGAATAAAGCCAATGTCTTGTGATTTGGAGGTATTATTATTAATAATAATATATTAATTATGTATTGGTCAGATGTAAAGGTAGACCTACAGTATGAGGTTTAATCAGATCTATTTATTAAATTGAGCTTAATTTAAAGGTAAATTAAAAGTAATCTGTTCACTGACAAAGTTTCAACTTTAATTTGTTTCAAGTCAATATCCATATTAAACTCCAAATGTAATTTTTTCCACCTTGTTTGACAATTTCTTGAAAATAATTCAATCTTTTACAAGCAACCAAATTTTGTTTTATTGGGCCAATTTCATTCCACATAGAAAGCTGACATTCCCACTCATTAATCTAAATGGGTATGCCAGTGGTAAATGTCCCAAAAGATTAATAAAATACCTTGTAATTTAAAGCCACACAGTGTAGGGTAGGCTTATCCAATCTCATTGTACACATGTTGTACTTTGACAATAAAGGTTGATTTGTAACATTAATAGTATTAAATTACCTTGAACAAAATCCTAGTCTTTTAATTACACTTAAAATTGAAGGATTTTTTTTTTTCAACTACAAAGGTAAACCTTGTAGGGTAGGCAAGGCGGGTTGTATGACATGTGTGAGTTCCGGCACCTTTTTTTTTCTTTTTCTTTCTTTTTTTTTTTAACAAAAAAGCACTAATTATGACATTGTAGCATATTGCAGTCATGTCAACCTTCACTGTCAATTTTTAACAAGCAAAGTGTTAGAGCGTGCAGTCTTACTGCGCGAGATAACCCAGGAGTAAACACAGTAAACAGTGGTCTATATTAAAAAGTGGTTTATCTTACACTATCTACAATATCATACACCAGGAACAATATACACACACGTGCTAATACAGCAGGATCCAATAAACCACAGTTACAGCAGGAAACAAAAGAGAGAGAACACATCAGCGGAGCCTTCCCTTTATACAAAGGATCTTAAAGAAACACAGACCCTGCTGAGTCATTCCCATCATTACATCTTAAATCTTACATTACATAAGCTGGTTAACTGTTAATCTTGACACAAAATAAATGGGGAAGCCGGCAGGAGGTCATAAATAGTAGTCATGCTTAGCAGTATGGATCCACCTAATGATGGCAACCGAAAGTGCTAGAAGCACTATTGCTACATAGTGTGATCATGTGACTTTATGCCCAGTGCCACATTGCTTAGCAATAGAATTTCCAGTCTCAATTACTGTCACTAAGGACTACTTGTACTTAGTTCTTATAGCACTTTTTAATTTGCTTTCTACATTGCAACAAACAGATGGGATAAATAAACAAAGGGAAAGAGATATCTTTTGGCTCACATCATTCAAGACCTGATAAGGAAGTGTGCTTTATGAATTCTATCTATAATTCTGAATTCTTATTCAACCTTGTGACTGAAAAAAGCAGAGATAAGACATGAGTACTTTTCCCCTAACTTCATAATAACCCCCTCCCCCACTAGGTTTCAAAACTTAATTTGAAGGATTGAACTTTGGTTTAAAAACACTGGAGAAAGGCATACAAAATGCTTATTTCAGCTACATGAAACTAAGGAATAGTTAAAATTGTATAATATCCCATCCCACTTATTAACCTGCATCATTATACCTGTTCTGCAACATCTTAAGTGGAGTAAAGTAACAAGAACAAGTATTATTTGCCTTAAAAATATGGACTAAAGCCATATTCTTTATTCAATTCATGCACTGCTTTATTCATGCCTACATAAAGAAAATAAATTAAACAGAACTAAAAAACCCAAAAGGAAAAAGGAACATTTATACTCCTTGTGAGATTCAATATTTACAAGTTTACATCTGAAGTAGTTCTGCCCTTTTCAAGTGCCATCTGCTGATACATATCTTCCGCTGATAAGTGTCCTCTTGAATCAAGGAGATTTTTTGAGTAGGGCAGATAATTACAGCTTTTTATTTGGAATTATTAACAAAGGCTACTTTTTAGGTCATGCCCTGGCCTAAAGCTAAAAGATTTTGGTCCAAAATACACATATGGTTAGAGAAAATGATTAAAAAACATATAGATTTTAAGCTAGAATTGTTTTCATTAGGCATAATAGTAGGAAACTATGAGAAGGAATCTATATACTTAATTTTACATGTATTAACTACAGCAAGAATAGTATTTGCTCAATATTGGAAAAATGAAAACCTACCAATGGAGGAAGAATTAAGAAAATCTTCGATTGTACAGAAATGGACAGATTGACATTGAAGATAAAAGAGAAAGAAGATTCAATATATTTTAGAAAATGGGAAATTTTTTATCAATGGCTAGAAAAACGAGTTAGAGAGAAAGGAATGTGATGTGTACTATGTAACATTAAATAAGTATTAGTAAGAAGAAGACCGTCAGGTGAAGTGAAGATGTAAGAAACATTTTATTAACTAACATATTGATTATGAAAATATAGAAACTAATTATTACTTATTGTTTTTAAACACATGAATCCAGACAACATGCTGTTTGCTAAATGCTGAAGAATGTTATCTTATAAAAATTTTATACATGCGTGTGTGTTTGTGTGTGTGTGTGTGTGTGTGTGTATGTATGTGTATATGTATATATATAAAACAAAGGCTACTTTTTAAAGCTTCCCTAAGAATTCAGAAATTAAATGGAGAAATCCAATTTTGGCTGATAAATTAAGATTTGAAAAGGGTAGTGTGAGAATTGGCTAACCTGCCATGTATTTCTTCAAGAATCTCCATATTTGAGAAAGTAGAATATGCATATAGGACTCATATTTTTAAAGAGAACTGAAGATAATTCAAAGCAGTTTACCTCCCATGTTCACTTTTTTCAGCCCTATTCATCTCTGATCAAAATTATTTAATCATGTGTATCCCAAATTGAACCTTCTTCTTCAAACAATCTTCAGCTATCTTTAGCCTGGTATAATGGAGGTAGAGTTGTATTACAGCTTCATCAAGTTTGATCATTTCAAAAGAGAATATAGAGCGTCTTATGGCAATGCTTAAGTCTGAAGTTACAAATATGAAAGATAATCCTCTCTTTAACCTACATTTTTAAATCATATAACTAATTTGGAAGGGTGCATTGGCTTCATTTTGTGTGTTGTAACTCTCATCTTTTTAATCCAATAGCTTTGGGGAATGGGAAAGGTTGCACAGAACAGTTTGGAAGATGTGTTCATTATGATCTCTAGTGAGGTATGGATATGTTTCAGAAGCTCATCACAAACAGAAAGTGCTCCACTTATTTCAGGAATTAGGAAACATACTTCAGTGAATTTAAGAGACATAAGATATTTATCACAACTGTCAGTATTCAGAGAAAAACAAAACAGAATAATCAAATCAGGCATCACATATTACTGAGAAGCTGTGGAAACTCTAGAAAATGAAGTAAAAAGCAGTATATATACACACTATGACCACAGCTAAAACATCCACAATAGATTAAAATAATGATTTCATACACCTCCAACAAAGGCAGAGTAACAAACATAAAAATACAAAAGAAACAATGGTATAATGCTTGTTAAGAGAATGTCTTCCAAAGTAATTCAACAGCTTCCTAAAATGCAGCAGAAAAATACAGGGAGGAGTTACTCTTCATAGAGAAGTATTCCAGAATAATATCACTACTACAGAAAAGTAGTGCCTTCTAGCCTTAGGCACTTCTGGGAAGCCTGGAACCACAATTACTTCTCTCTTAAGGGTTGGTGGGTTAAGTCACTTCTGGCTGGATCATATATATATGTGAGATTTATCTAAATGCCATTCTGCCAGAAGTTAAAATTTCCCCTCTTTATAATATCCTCCTCCAAATCTCTTCCATTGGGTTGGCCAACAACTTGGAATAGAACTGGAGGACACTCACAGTTCAGCTGAAAGGAATAGAAGAACTCCCAATGGATATATAGAAATCCACTGCGTATGTTGGATATAGCCCAAGAAAGCAGTATAAGAAATTAATTTCTTCTGAAGACTTCCTATTTTTCATAAAGTAGAGGGGTCCTTAGCTATTATGTACCAGCAAAAGTTCAGTAGTTTGGCTGAGAAGCAGTATATAGACAACCATGGTTTTCATATACTTGTTAAGCAACAGAGGCCTAATTATCTTAGAATGTCATCCTATATTGTTAGAACATACAGGTAAATTTATAATTGTATGGGATGGTCTTGTACAAACCAGCCAGCTATGAGGTTTTATGCAAGCAAGAATGGATACTTACAGCAGGCAATATCCAGCAAGGTACAGTGACTAGATGGCACCCAGAGGTTTGATGAGCCAGTATCAAAGACTACCGTAAACTTCTGTTGTGGAGTCCCAATACCTATCTCCCCATAATACTGTGCCTGAAAAAGAAAAGAAAATGCAAGGACAATAAATAACACACACACACACACACACACAGAGAGAGAGAGAGAGAGAGAGAGAGAGAGAGAGAGAGAGAGAGAGAGAGAGAGAGAGAGAGAGAGAGAGCGCAAGCTGTTATACAACTCTATACAGATCCAAAATATGCTTGATCCAGCTACACTGCTAACTATATTGTTCATTATTTTAGAGAACATATGAATGTCAAGACACTCCAACAATAATCAGGCACTTGGAAATGAAGAGTAAAGTAAAAAATGTTTATCACTTTTATTAAGATTTGTAGGAAAAAGGGCAGTAATAGGGAAAGAATACTCATCATTAGGATGCCATAATAGAAAACAATGTGAAACAACAGTTTTTTTGGCATCCAAAGTAAAAAAACTTCACAGTTAAGTGTTTTATAATATTTTGTGAACAAAAAGCATTATGTATGCACCTTGAGTTGTACAAAATAAATATGGGAGATGATAATAACAGCAGCAGCAACAAACTATTCCCTCCATCCTGGAATGAATTGTAAATATTCATTTATGTGGAAGAAAAGACAAGTAAATCTTCTTACTGCCAAAAATTCCAGTCACTATGAAATAACCATTTTTCAAAACTTCAGCTTGTTCTGCTTCTTGGTTACCAAGAGCATGCAAGATAAAAGTAATATACAGAGTGTGATACCAACAATATTTGTAAAAGAAAACAGACTAAAGGAAGAAGCCTCAATTCACTGCTTCAACAGGTTCCCTTCAAAATAACAGCATACTTTGCAATGGGTTTTTTTCCAGAAAAAAATAAGATCTTGAGCTTCTCCCTTTGTTGATTTTTCCCCCTTTACTCTCGCCCTTCAAATTAGATACTACTTTATAATGCACTTTACATTCTGTTAAAGTCCTTTGCTGTTTATCCCAACATTTTTGTATTCAGAATTATCACATAACAAACTTCCATGCAAAACTCTGCTACTTGATTTCTCTCAATAGCTTTCAACTATTACTTAGCAAATGTATATTTCCTACTGACTGTCTGGAATAGAACTGGCAGAGCCAACAGGAAACTTAGTCTGTTTGGCCCACATTCAATAAAGAAAGGTCTAGTTCCCCTGTGAAAATAACTCATTACAAGCTACACCTGTCTGTATATTGTCATACAAAATAAAAGAAAGCTGCTTGCAAAGATTACTCGATAAGAGTAGCAAGTATTGCTATCCACAACTTTTGAACTGTTTCTACATTCATTCATTTTTACATTTGTTTAAAAAGTTTGCAGAAAAGATCTACAGTATACGGATTTATGCACACTGTAAATGTTGGCCCATATGGAACACAGATTTCTGCTAATTTAGAAATGTTTGTGCAGATTTCTCCAACAGAGTTGATCAAAGAACTATAACAACTAAAGGACAATAGGTAACCTTGGTCCAAATAACCATGTTCCCTTTGAGAGAATTTAGAAACAGCAGGGCATTTAGGCTTCAGTAGCTAATCCAAAATGGCTGTTTGGAAATGATGATACTCTAGTTAGGCAATTCCCAAACTATCAATTTTGTCACTTCTATTGAAAATGAACATTGGAGCTGTTGTATAAATATAGTTCACAGCTGCTGACACACACATGGTGGCTTTATTCTCGTACTTCCCATTCTAGCAACACAGCTGGCACATCATTTATCCTCTACAGGCAGTTCTCAAATTATGGCCATTTGTTTAATGACTGTTCGAAGTTATGATGGCATTGAAAAAAGTGACTTATGATGGTCACTGCACTTATGACCATTAGAATGTCTCCACAGATACAAAATCAAAATTTGGGCTCTTGGCAATTAGCCTGTATTTATGATGGTTGCAGTGCCCCAGGATCACATAATTGCTATTTAGGACCTTCTCAGAGGGCTTTCAACAAGCACATTCAATGAGGAAAATTTGATTCATTTAAAGACTCTGTTGATTTTTTTAAAATGATCATAAAATCCAGCATGACTCATTTAACCACTGCATAGCTTAGCAATGGAAGTTCCAGTCTCAATTATGGTTATAAGTAAAGGAATACCTATACTGAAAGTGTCACAATTGTTCTTGTGTATTCTTGCCTATCAGTAAAGTATGTAACTAAAATTAATACCAGGAATTTTAAAACTATGAATAGCAATAAAAATAGGTCTAAAAAAACCTAAGAAAGAAAAGAAATAACTAAATGATAAGATTTTGGATTTAGACGGTCTCTTTGAATTTCATGCTTTGAGACAAGAAATTCACTCACCCTTTTTTTTTCTTAATAAGATAGCTGCCTTTCTCCCCTGAACTAAAGTCTTTCAATTATGTTGGACTTCTATTCCCACAACTCCCATCCAAGCAGATTAGATCAGGGGCCCCCAACCCCCATTCCGTGGACTGGTACCAGGCTGCGGCATGCCAGCAACCGGGCCGCATAAACAAGCAAAGCCCCATCCGCGAGATACAGGCAGCACACAAAACCACACACCCTCCGATCTGTGGAAAATCCTTTCTCCACGGAACCGGTCCCTGGTGCCCAAAAGGTTGTGGACCTCTGGATTAGATCCAAACAGCAGTGCTGTAAGTCTGTCATTCTCAGCTAACATAAGCCAGATAATGGACTATACGGATCATGCCAGAATATGAAAAATATTAAGGCCAATACTTGTGCTGCATTATCTGATGATTTTTTATACTATAAGAAATTATTGTAAGAACTAGATTTAGAAAAGCAAATAGTTGAGAATTCAAGAGACTGAGGCAAGGAACCAAATTGTTCCTTCATCCATTTAAATCACAACAATAGCAAAATCTAAAGAGATGTTAACTAGTATAGTGACTGAAAGATTAGAAAATTAAGATACACGGGACAGTGCTTCTTTGTTAGTCAAAAATAAAAGACAAAAATAAAAATGGGAAATGAAAAACCTAGTTTAAAACTGATATAAGATGATAAAGATACATTGTTTGATGAAATTACAGTTGAAACTAAAACTGAGAAGTATTTTTTTTTTTTTTTGGTTTCTGTAAAAATATGAGGTTAATCCAAGGAAGGAAGGCAATGATAAGAACAGACTAAATCATGAATGGAAAGTTCATTTCAATAGCAACAATTAAAATACTTAAAAACAATGAATTTTTCAATGACAATGAACAGTTATGGAAATTGAACAATAATAAAGCAGAGAAAGGAGAAACTTCTAAAAATTGATTTTTTAAAAAACTTTTATTACAGGTACCATTGATTACAAGAAGAACCTATTAGTGCTAGATCAAGTAAAATTGACTGTTCTCATAAAGCAATGATTGGCCATGTTTTGGCCATGTGAGAAGAGATGAGAGAATTAGAGAAAACTATTACATTTGGTAAAGTTGTGACCAATAGACAGAGAGGGACACAATGGATAAAGTGGACGAATGAGAGTAAATACATTATTGGAAGAGCTACAAGTTATTATTAGACACGAGGCAAGATAATAAGCATTTGTTCATGCAGTCACCAGATTTGATGGCCTCTAATCAACTATCATAATCTATTGCATAACAACAACAAAAAATAGGGCTGCACAACACTTCAAATTCAAACGGAAAAGGATTCTTTGGCGTATACTACAACATTGTTGTGAGAGCTGCAGGATGATACCAGGGAAAGATGCAAATTTGGTTTCAAGAATTATTAATTGCTATGTGTGCACTTACGTGTGTCCTGAAGTACTTATTTTTCTTTCAGATCTACAGATCTGCCCATCCTTGTGGTACAAAACCCTGTTATAAAGCTGTTAAATATATGAAGAAATGAAATGAAACGGAGTGCTTTTTGTTCTCCTTTCTTTTGATTCAGCATTATTATTTAAGTTCCTTTGAAATATGCATTGCTTCAGAAAAGCATCAGATAAGCAAGCCTACATTTGAAAATCATTTTCCCAAATATGAATTATCATCTCCATCTTTCCCAGATGACATTTCTAATGTTATAGTACTGCAGGTTATTTATCAAATGTTAACTAAGCATAGTTGATTGTGAAAGCCTCATTATAGTATTTTTATGCATGTGAACAACTGTGGGGGTGGGCTGGGTGTGGCTGAAATGAAAACACTTTCCAACAGCTTCAGCAAGATTGCTAAAGTTAGTTTATTTAGCAACTACAGTGGTTTTCCAACAGCTTCAAAGGAAAAATTTGCTAAAAAATAACATGTCACCTGTTGTCCTTCCTTGGCCATGTTTTAGTAGGCAACTTTTTATAATTTTGACAATTTTGTATCACAAAATTTTTAACTTAGAGAAAGATGGATCATGATGATTAACTGATGTCAGCACCAGTAATGCTTTATAGAAGATTGGTCTCTCACCCAAAGGTTGGTGAAGTAAATGTTCAGCAAAGCCTCTCTCTGAAATAATCATTATGGTTTAAGAGAGAATGGGATGGCATTATACATCTCACCCATCCCTGGCCTGATAAAAATCTTTGGTCTCTGCTAAATGCAAATTTAGGAAGTTTCTTGGGCTTTTAAAACTGAGTTTTGATTACTTTGCACAAAGCAATGAGATATGGAACAGGTTAGTTGGATATTAAATGAGTTAAGCAATGTACCATTGTACCATTTATTTAGGATACGAGTGGGAGAAGAGCAGATTCCATATTCATCAATCATATTCATTTTGATGTCATTCTAAATTATATAATATTCATTCTTAATCAACTGAAAGTGATGGATCTTTTAAAATAGAAAATGCTCAGAAGTTGCTTCAAGGATTATCATTACAATTAAATCTATGAAATTATAGAAGACTCATGGTCAATGATTGATATTAAACAAAAGCAGGTTTTTGTCTCTTATTTTACTAGAGGCCTATGGTGCAGCTTTCTCAATCAGTCCACTGCATTTAGTGTTAATGAAGCAATCACTGTTATTCCCGGATCAGGCAAATACTCTACTATGTATTCAAATTATAAATCCATTTCCTTGATAAAATTGGAGACTGATTTTTAACA